TGAAAATTGCATGAGCCAAAACCAATCTCACCCCCCCTATGATCTACTCTGAGCCAAATGAAATCTATATACGCTAATATATGCAATATATGCTAATTGTGTAGCTACAAAATTAAATTGCCCATGATTTTGAAACCATAAAAAATTCCACAATTTCCTTTGTGCCGCCAACTACAAACACAACATTGACAATGTTTAGCTAGTTTTTTCAACAACTAGCTGGACATTGACCAACTAGTTTTTTTGTCTTTTTTTACATCCACCTCCAGGATGTTACAACTGTATGGAAGACAGACAAATCTTTGCAGAATCCTTTGTCAATTCTAATTAAATTCCACACACTAGATGCTAAACTAGAACTTGAAACTATCTTCAGTTATAATGGGTTCCTCGCCCAACCTGGCTAGGAACCTTGCAGTTGGGTAAGGAACCCATTATAAATGATTGCAGTTCTTGCTTCCAGTTATTTCTGTTGCAAACACATGACTCTCAACACTATTTTCTTATTTTCTGTTGTCTAATTTGTCCAACACCCCTCCCTATACTAATAGAAGTCAATTCTCTTAGATAGGAATGGTATGAGACTTTTGTGTTATCTGTGCTTAAACTGATTCTCCTACTTTTCTGTTTTTCAATAAATTGCTGGTAAAGAGGAAGCAACCGATTGCTGTTGTTCAAAATCTGACTAAAAAAGATAGGAGTCCAACGTCCATGAAGAATGAGAGGACCACCAGACAGCTACTGGGAGGGTTTTACCAACATAAGGGATTTCTAGAGAAGCTTCTGAAAGATGAAGGTGCAAATCTGCCCATCTACTGACATTTGCATTTGTCTATTTATTATTTTATGTAGAAGTCAGTCCTTTGTTGTCCCACATGTAGCGCTTTCATCCACTTTTATATTTTCTTCAAATTGAATTGAATTTATGTTTCACCTTTTAACGGCATTCTGTTAAAGCTGTTTTGCAATCCTACTCAGATTTGATTAAGGGAGTGACGAAGAATGGAGAACGAGTGGAAGACCTCATTAAGAACTGCATCACATCTCTAAATCACTGCGCTGACTTCTGGAGTCAAGAGAAACCGATTTCCCACAAAGATTTTAGTCTTCAGTCCAAAGCGCCCAAACCAAGCTTAACCACTCGGAAGGCTCTGTATCTCCGAAAGGCCTTTGATGAGATATCTCGTTGTAGGATATACTTCTGATTCAACCTGTAGCTCATCACTGTGATTCTTTTTTGTATGTGTGTAAAATTACTTTGGTTTTCATCTGTCATTGCAGCTCTGGCTACAGGGAGTACAAAAAGCGCTCTGGCGAAGATAGAGGACGTAATCAAGACGGTTCAAGGATTGTTAGATAATGAGTGCCCTATTAAAGATGAGTTAATGTGCTTTCTGCATAGTTGCATGGGACAGGCTTTTTTTGACTTGGGAGACCTTGATAGAGCAATGGAGTATCATGAGGATGACCTGTACTTGGCTAGACATTGGTGAGAAGCTGAAGAACCAAACAATTTGAGTTAACACAGCTTTTTTTGAAAGAGTCCAATTTTTTTATTCATCTTTCTTATAAACAGCGATATTCCAGAAGCAATATCCAGGGCTCTGGCCAACATAGGATGCATCTATGCAGAAACAAAACACTTTGAAAAGGCCATAGAGTTGTAAGTAAAAAACACCCTATACACACTGTGCTTCTAAAAACATCTAAATTCAATTTCTTCTGAATTTCTTTTTGTCATGATTCAGCTGGAAAGAGAGGATTCCTTATGTTCATGAAGGTTTGGAGAATACCTGGATGCTGCATGAAATCGGCTGTTGTTATCTAGAGCTCAATCAGCCAGAAACAGCCATAGACTACGGACTACGTTCTATTGCTGTGGCTGAGGAAATGTTTGACGACACATGGCGGTTAAGAGCCACCGCTTTGGTTGGACAGTGTGAATGTAATTACTGTTTTTTTGTTTTACATTTTGAAAATTTGGAGTAGTTTCCAAATTTGAGGATTTTAGTTTTTAAACCAATAAAAGCTCTACTGCTGTCAGTTTAATCCTTGAATGATGGTTTAAAGAAATGTCACTTTGTGTTTTTTGTTTGTCTTTCTTTTTTCTGCTGTTTTAGTGGAGCTGGGAAACTTAGAATCATCTGTATCTTTCTTTGAGAAAGCTTTGAGCATTGCTGAATTTGAGAATGATGGCATGGCACTGAAAACTATCCAAAAGGTTTCTTTGTCATCTTATACTTTCCATCTTAATTTTATTTAAAGACATTTTTTGATCTCTGACCAGACAACTGTTTTCCTTTTAGGTACTTAGTGGAGTAAAGGAACAGCTACAAAATCAGCAACTTTCCTCACAAAATGAGGAAAACGGAGAGGAGAGCGAGGAGCAGAAGGAGGAGCAGCAAGAGGAGAAAAAAATGGTGGAAGATGCCAGTGAGAAACCAGAAACCGTAAAAGAATGAAGAAAGTGGTGATTATTAAACTGTTCTGGTCATGTTGGGAACAAAGGCCTCACAATCCTATCATCAATAATAAAGCTTCATAAAGCACTGTATACAGTGAGGATATCAAACTGAACCCTGAGAATCGTTCCTGATTAAGAAGTGCTTTAGAGTTAAATTGACCCCCACCTCATTGGGATTCATAGGGAAGTGCTCCTTGCATTCATTTCTTTTTGTGTAATATCTCTGTAAAGTATTATTGTCTAAATAGAAATGTCTGGGAGACCAATACTATTCTTTTCATCATTTGTATTTTAAGTGGCTTGGTTTGTTCTAGGTTTCGTTTTTGTTCCATGAACATTAGGAAAAGAACAAAAAACGTTTTTAAGTATTTTTCCCTTCATTTCAATTTTTGGTCTTAAGTAGATAGAGCCAGGCAAACTGATCCACTGTTTGTACCAGTTTTCCCCTCTGCTTTGAGATATGAATGGTGTAATTTACATAACTTGGAGTAGAAATGCTTCTGTTGTCGCTCACTGGAGGAATTCAGTTGTACTGGCATCAAAGTGACAGGGAAATGGAAGCATTGAGATACATATATCAAATTAATAATATGGTAGCCTGATTCTATGATATGTACAAACTGAGTGAACTCATTAAAGAGCTTTACAAACTGTAATCTGTACATGTGTGCAACAATGACAAACCACTAGCAAGAATATGGAAAAGTGTGCAAATAATTGTAGGACTGTTTGTAGAATCTTACAGCTGCTGGGAGGAAGGATCTGTGATAAAACTTATTTATTTTTACAAAATAAGAACTTATTTGTGAGTTTGACTCATAAGAATCTGTTGACTCGTGACGTAGGCATAAAAAACAAGAAGTTGATGCACAACAACAAATAAAAACGTATTTAAAAAACTCATGTTTTTACAAAAATGACTGTAACGCAGTGCTCTGATGTAACAATACACATTACACACTGAGTTGAAATACTTCACTTTTTCGTTCACGTTGTTACACAACCAAATCTAAAGACAGAGACCAAAACAGAAACGGCCTTGTGATCAGAATAACTGTCCTTCGTGTCAGCGAGATGGTTTTATAAAGAGAGCTGTATTTTACATCTTTAGCTTTGCATATGAGATAACAGCATTTATATTACTGAGAACTTCTGTATATGCTGCTGTATAACTGACAGAGTACTACAAATTAGCAGAAACAGTGTGTAAGATACACAAGAATGCACATAAATGTTAAAATATTTCAAAATGAAAATCATTAGTGATTTGTTTTATTCTGCCGGATTTCTTTTTAAACACGTTTTAAGACGATAGAAGTTAGGGTGATAATGAAGACAAGCTGAAACCAAATACTCAACTAAAACAGATCTGTGAAGAAAAATATTTTGTTCTGATTTACCTAGTTCTGAAGAGCTACTTTATTCAGTAACTCAGTCCAAAAGAGGAAGAAACTCATGCAGGTTCATTGCACACAATTTTTTTCGAATTTGAATTCTACATACAAAAATGTTGACCCAGTGGAAGGCATTTCCATGTAGAATAGAATAGCATTTATTGTCATTGAACAGGATTCAACGAAATTTCTATTGCAACTCCCGTGCAAAAAGTCAAACAGGCCTATATACAATATTAAATAAACAAACACACAATAATAATAATAATATATACAACTAAAATATATACAACTAACAACAGTCTGAGCAGTATTGGTTAAAGCTTGCTTTGCATGAATTACTGCATTGATGTGGTCAAAGCTACATTTACCATCCACAAAGCAGGTCAACGAAAAGGACACATTTACCATTTCCTGGTACATGGCTACCCAAAGTCAGAACTTTGAAAAAAGCAGCAAATTATATGATTCCTAAATAACCTCTGAATGTGGAAACTTCCTGCAGCACCTCAAGCCACTTGTGCCTCACCGTTCTTTTTCCGTGATTGGGGACTTAGATTTCAAAATAAACTGCAAAATATATTTTCATCTGAAAAGACAGCTTCGGACCTCTCAGCAACAGTCCTGCCCTTTTCAGGTGCTTCTTACAGGTAACAGCTGTGGACCATACTGGATACCTGTACGTAATGGCTTTTAAATCAGACTGCAACCACCATCTCTTTCATATTCTTGAACTGGCTTTGCTTTTTCTGCCACTTTTTCTTCCTCTCAACATACTAATAATATGCTGAGACTCTTTCAAGTCCTTTGGTGGCTACCTTTGGCATGGCCGATCTAACCATCAATTTCCCCTGCGATTATGTAAGATGTACCACTTCTGTATTTATTTAATTTTGTGAATTATATTTTAATAGTAATCACTTAAAAAAATGTGTGGTGAAGTTATATTTTTTCTTGCATTACCAAAATACACAACATGTTCATGAAGTTATAAATTAGACTGCGGATTAAACTAACCACAGTAAAATCATCACGGTTGGATCAGTTCACTGTTCTTCCGGCCCAGTGGGGCGTGGCCAAGGACACGCCCATTTGCGCGTGTCCGGGAGTTTCCGTTTCTTTCTCTTCCCCCCCCCCTTGAAAAGACGAGTGGGTTCGTGTCAGGGTCCAACGCTGCCGTGTCATTGTGCTCAGAAGGGGGAAACGCGTGGTCAGCAGCACAGTTGGCTTCACTGCAGCGTTTCTGGTAAGCTGACATGTTAGCTAAAATATCTGCAGTTTATGTTTTTTAAAAAAAAGCCACTTTTTTTTCCTTTTCTTTTTTTGTGGACATGTTTAGATGTGAGAGTTTGACTCGTTGTCGGTTTGCTGTTAAATCTGTTAAAATATGGTGCTGGTGATGTTGCAGGCTGATTAATTAAGAGGTGGGCGGCGGGGGGTTAAACTGTTTTTGTCTGGCGTGCTAATGTGAGTGTGCACGCCACTCCCCGTCCTGACCAAAACGTGTTCCTTAATGCTTTTTAGCCCACTATCTACCCGTTTTAACAACCAAAATAAACATTTAACTTCATTTTGATGCCGTCTTCGACTTTTAATATTTGAAAACACAATGCTTTTTGCTCAAACAGATGTGTGGTTTTGATTTCAGTTTAAACAAAAGGGTAACTTTAGCCATTTCTGCTACCCTACCGAACCCCCCCCCAAAACTCCATAGTTCTGTATTTTGTCTTTAGAGCTCATGTCTTCAATTTTGGGGGAAAAACTGGGGATTGACGTTAAGCAATTGCTTCGTTGTTACATTCACTTCAGTTTAACTCTTCCTCTTTCTGGTTGCCTCAATGCAGTTTGTCGTACACTTTCCATTGGCTTCGTAAAGCTAAACTCGGCTAAAGTTTTTTTGTTGTTTGTTTTTTAATAGTACCAGTTTCTTTAATCAGCCATTGTCTGTTTGCTGGCAAGGTTTCAGGCAGCCTAGGTTTCTGTGCAAACATTTGAGTACTGTCATTCTTTTTTTATCTCTCTGAACTGTTTATCTTAGGACTTACTGACTTGCATAAATGTAAATATAAATTTGAATAACTAACTTTGTGCTTTCACTTCTTCTGCATGCAAAACTGAACGGAAAAAGACCACATTAAAGCAAAGCTTAGAGGTTGTATTAAAGTGTGTAGGAAATATTATTCTACATAATTTCACTGTCTCTATAAAGATTTGAATAATAAAAGCTATTTATCTTTATTACTTCACTTTTCAAAACTCTGAGTTACTCCTTGTTTGACCAGTGTGTGGGCTTTCAGAATTAACATTCTAACCATATTCTGTCACTTTGACATTCAGGTCGTTTCCTTGAATATCCCTACATGAATTAATTTCACTTCCAAATGTTCGGTAAACCTAAATGCTTTGATTTTATTTATGTCTTCAAGGTACCTGGTTGTGTGCAAAATTGGATTTTAAACCAATCATGGATACAGACAAAAGAGAGGTTTTAGATGTGCCAGCAACTCCAAATCAAGAGGAGACGGTAATGGAACAAGAGGCAAAACCAGAAGCAATGGAGCAATCCACAGAGCCTGAGAATCCACCAGCTGCTGTGAAAGAAGTTGACCAGCTGGTGGTGAACAGCCAAGAAGCAGAAAAGCCAGTTGTGGTAGAAAATGTGACGCAGGAAAATAAAGAAAGCAACATGGAAAAGCCAGAAGAGGAGTCGGTGCCCTGCGCAGCGGCACCAGTAGAATCAGCTGAGTCATCAGTAAAGGTCTCTGACCCAACTGCAGCTTTAGAACAGCATCCTGTGCCAGAGAATATTGCAGAGCCTGTACAAGTCCATCTGGCAAAGACCACCCCTGAACCAGAGCCAGAGAAACCAGCAGAAACTCTACCACAAGAGAAAACTGTAGCCGAACCATCTGTGGCGAAACCAGTAGATACTGCACCCGACCCAGCTGTGAAGAAGCCAGTTGAAACCCAGCCAACCAACAAAGAGGCAGAACCAGAACAAGTGAAGACAAAGGATGAAATGCCTACCGGGGTGGAGACAAAGATGGAAAAAGAAGTAGTTGCGGAAACGGTTGTGGTGACTGAGAAGTTGGCAGAACCAGCAGCAATGGGTGAAAGTGGGGAACCTGTGCTGGAAGTCAACCCTGTCAAGTCTGAATCTGTTATTCCTGAGGAACTGACAGTAGAAGCTGAAGATGTTAAATCTGTGCAGAAAGAACCAGAGCTTCAAAAGGAAGAAGATGTTGTTCAACTCACTTTCTTTTGCCCTCCTGGAACACGAGGAAACGAAAGATGCATTACGAATTTATCGCACGCTTATTGTCCTCAGGGGCCTTCCTGGAAGTGGCAAAAGCTTTTTGGCACGAGCTATAGTAGACACCTACAAAGACCAATGTACCGTTTTCTGTGCTGACGACCACAACATAAAGCCCGAAAATCCCTCTGCTGAAGGATACAGAGCTCTGGATGATGCTGTAGTGGCTCGCTGCTGTGACGGGACAGCGTCCTCTGTGCTGATCGTGGTGGATGATACCAACCACACCCACGATCGGCTTGCCCGCCTGGAAGAGATTGCAGAGGAACACAATCTAGTCGCTATCTTCTTGGAGCCGCAAACCGAATGGAGCAGAGACTTAAGTCAGCTGAAAAAGAAGACTGGCCGTGGACTAGACGAGGCCCACCTGGATGCAATGAAGGGTCCACTCAATGAAACATCCCTTCCTCTTTATTTCGGCTGGTTTCTTTTCTCTTCAGTACAGGACAAGGTTGGGTGCACAGCAATGGACTTCTTGAAAACATTGGACACCCTGGAAGGCTTCAAAAAACACAGTGCTGACTGTAAGTGTCAGTAAAACTGGCTTTAAGATTATTTTTGGTGTTATTTGATTAGAAATAATTTTGTTTTTCTTTTTTCAGTCACAGGACAGGCTGAGAAGGAGGTGGATTTGGAGCAGTACTTTGAGACCAAGGGAATCCTCCACTGCACTACAAAGTTCTGTGACTATGGGAAAGCAGATGGTGCAAGCGAGTACGCAAAGAATCCAGTAAGAAACTACTTTTAACTCCACATAACTTGGATAAATTAGTGTTTGGTGTTAATCTTGTGCTATTTTCCTTGTGAATGCTCCAGGTGGTTAAGAAGTCCTACAGTTCTGTGTTCGAGCTGTCGCTGACTGCTCTCTTTGTCACCCCTCGCACCGTTGGTGCCAGAGTGTCTCTCACCGATGAGCAGCTCAAGCTTTGGCCAGCGAATACAGAAAAGGAGTCGGAGGCAGATGTTCCCGGATCTGCGTCTCTTCCTGTCGGAAGTCGTGCCCACATTACCCTAGGTTGTGCAAAGGATGTGGAGCCGGTTCAAACGGGCTTAGATCTGCTCCAAATCCTAACCCTGCCTCAGGGCGATGTGGTCGAAGAGATGGAGCTTGGCTCGCTGCGATATTACGGTGAAGGAAGGTGGATGCTCAGCCTTAGAGAGCCAATCTGTGCTGCGACTTGCTTCTCCAGCTTCTACGGACGCAAGGAGCAGGAGGAGCAGCAGTCCCCTAAAAAAGAGCCAGAAAAGAAAAAGACGAAGAAGTGTGCTATTCTGTAGATGGAAACGGTTGTGTGTTGAGGGATGTGGTTGGTGAATTAAAACTTAGGCTTACTTTGTGAAAGATTGGCGTTTGTAAAGCATTTAGGGCTTCAGTTGTAGTCGTCCTAAATCCACAAACAATTTGCCTTTTTAACGTTGATTTGCACCACAACCCAAGATGCCTTAGAGTTGGGCACGTTATTGGTTCAGTATTTTTTTTTCCCCATCACGCTGTCCTGTTAGCTGCAGTTTCTCCTAGGATAGCCTCCTTCCACAGTCCTACAGTGTATTTAAAAAGCTAGGCTTTCTTCTGCATAGGCCAATGTTCACACTGGATACTCTGCATGCATCACTGGTTTTTCCATAAATTACTGGATTAATGTGCTAAACATAGCTCTGTTTCCTTTGCTGTAGTTTCATAATTCTACAATATACGTGTTGGTGCAGCTTAGGAAGTAATGATGATTAGCTTCTGGACCAAAGTTACATATTAAGTGTTAGATTCAATGTCAGTTGTAGAGATTCTTCCTTGTAAATCTCTGGCCTGTGCTTGGCTTCAGAGGGAGAATGCTGATGAACCTGGCATTATTTTTTGTTGCTTATGAAATGGCGCGAGTCTTTGCCAACGTTTTGCAATCTTTTCTACTGCGCAATCCTCTTTGAAGAGTACTGCCATGTCCTGCTTTTTGGTTTGTAGGCTGTAACTGTAATTTTCCTGAAGTCCTACTTTGTGTAGCTCTTATGAATCACTATTTTTGCACTTGTTTTGTACACTCAATAAAGAGAAACATGCTTTGCTGTAACAGTCTGGGTGCAGTTAATAGATTTTTATGCATCACACACATTTTTACCTGCAGATGAAAATTTACTTTATGCACTTGCAGTTTCAAGAATAAGCCAGCAGATGGCACAAATAAACAGTGGAAAAGCAGCTAGAAGGATTTTTGTTCGGGAAGCTCATGCAGTATGAAAGTATTTTGCATAAAACAAAATGCTTTACGTAAATTTCCAACTTGCTTCTTCAGACTTTTTATTTTTGTATGAGTCCTTCACTCTAACCTGACATTTATGTATTTTTCTGCAGGAGTAATTTGAAATTTTGGAGATTGTAAAAATGCTGGTTAAAATTTAGGTTTTTGTTGTAACTTTAATGAAAGAACCAACATCCCAAAGTCAAACTTTTGAATTATTTTAACATGTTAAAATAATGGGATTAATTTGTAAAAGCCAGCATAAAACTTTAGTGTAATACATTGAGTATAATTATTTGGCCTAGAATTAAATTTGGAAATGTGCATCTCTTTCCATCCAAAAAAGGTTAAAAATAACTCGTTAATGGCATGCAGAGTGATACATTGTCGGTGGTTCTGATGATTACGCAGATGGCTAATGAATCCTAAATTTAAATTTCTCTGAAAATTAAGCCACATTAAGCCATTTCAAAAGACAAACAATTTTAAATAATATTGGTCTTGCCTCTTCAGCAGACCATAATCAGACTCCATAAAGACAAGCAAATTCTGAAAAAGGTGCACAGGAAAAAATCTGCTGCTTCAGGTCCAGCGTTAACTTTCCACAGGGATTGTATGGGGATATTTTTAGTTTTTATTAAATACGAGCCAAAATTAGTCTGAATTTAAATGCTTGAAATGTATCACTCTATGAAAGGAATCTATTTCCAGTAAGTTTCTCATTTTGAACCGAATTACTGATATGAGAGAAGTTTTTGATAATATTCCAGTTTATTGAAAGACACAAGCTATCAGTTGCTCTATCAAACAATACAAATGCTTTTATACTTCTTGGTTTTTACGTGATCTACATTTATTTCACGTAAAAGCTCCAACTAAAATATTTGCCTTGTTATGAAATTTCCTGCAGTATGTGAATGCAACAACACAGGCTGGTAGGATGAGCCAATCAGAAGCCAGGAAACATCAGCTAAGGCTATGTGGAGGGAGGTGGAGGGGAAAACTGACAACAAGCTTTATTCTCAGACTAGACAGGTTCCACTGGCGGAGTGGAGCAACACTGCCGAGGATCTCCACACATCCACCCACTGCTCACGTCTACCACGGTGAAAGAAAGAAAAGCAGGTAAAACTTTGAACAATGACATTTAAATCTGTATTTGTTCTTTTTTTTTTAGCTTCCCTAAGGCTTTTTTTTAATCAAGAAAATACATGAAACCAGATTTAAAGCAAGTCTACTTTATCCAGCACATAGTTATAGTAATAATGATAATAATAATAATATGTTTTTTTGTTTGAATGTTTTTGCAAACTAATGAAACAAGTTGATTAAATCAGTTGAAACTGTGCCTTACTTTTTCCCCCACCACTTTCCCTGAACAGGTTCTTGCCATTTCTTTTTATGAGCATCATTTCTTTCTGTGCATCTTCTCCAACCATCCATCATTCTCTGCTTTGAGAGACACTGTTACTGTCTGCCATTTGTACCAGTGTTATTTTGGCTGTGTATTTTTTTCCCTCCTCTGACAGCCCAGGTACAGAGAATAAATTGCAAGATGAATGAAGACCCAGTTTTGGATTAAACATCACCCTGGCTTGGAACCCATTCTGTGGTGACTCTGGAACAACACCGATCAATAATGAGAGCGGTCCTTAGCTGTCATATTAATCCATTTAAGAAATGACTCCCAGAGCTGCAGAGGAGAGGGAACAGTTGAGAGTAGACATCAGGGCTTTCAGCCTAATGAAATGCACAGAAAGACATGATTTCCAGCCTTTGGAGCTGCTAATTAGTGCAGCCCTTATAAGTAAGTAAAAGTGTGGTTCGTGATAACATATCTAATGGCCTTGGGAACCTAACCAGAGATTTACGGTGACTAAAAAGGTAAAAATAATCCAAAAAATTCAGACATTGACAGCGACTCTAAAATATGATTATTACCATATCCTCAACATAATTGTGAAAGTTCAACAGCTAATTTGTAACATATGTAACTGGTTTAGTGTCAAATAGTAATTATTAGAGACACTGACCAGACTTTTACAGACCAATGACAAATGCTGGATTCTCTGAGGAATTTAAATTTTGTGAACTCAATCTTTACACATAACATATGTATTGTTTAGTTTATTTACATTTAACAACGTAACTCCTCCTAGGAACTGTGCTGCAAGTTCCCAGATAGAGATAGTTGTTTTGAATCCAACAGAAAATGAGAGTATATGATATTCTTAATATACATATACATGTATGCAAAGGCACTTCATTTTTATTGAATCGGTTAAAGAACTTAAATTGCAAATTTCATCAAAGATTTGGTAGTTGAATGTACAAGGAATAGCTTTTTTAAAAAAAAGTTTTTTATGCATTTAATCAATAATAAAAAAAAAACCTTAGCTTTTGAGCTTTCAGGTCATAGCCAATAGATGGAAAGCTTGAAGAATAACCAATGTATCCTTATTAATTATCAAATTATATTATTGTGTTTATATAATAAGGCAAAGCTCGTCCGACTTTGAAGCTACAAGAGTATTTCCAGTGTAATAACTACATATTTTTGTACCTTAATGTCATTTGGTTGGCATTTAGGGTTCCTAAAAGTATAATTCATGTTGAGTCTGATCTTCACCTTGTTGGGAGACTTAAAATTCTTAATGTTCGTCTTTATTACATTTTCAGCTTTTATAAAATTGAAACTGCAGTGCTGTTATGACACATAAAAGTTGGAAACTTTATGTTAGTGGTGAAAACGAATGTGCAAAGTGCAAAGGTCACATCTTCACCCGTTCGGCAGTAAAATTTATAGATGCTTTTACTGGTTTGTGATTTTATGTTTCATTTTACTTACGTCACATCATGAACTAAACTGAGTGCCAATAGCAATTAATTATAGCAACTAATGACCTGCATGATTTCAGCGTTATGGAGTTAAAATGGTTCACATCAGATCAGATTGAGCTCTTACAGGGTGAAGATGTGTAGCTCCTGAAGCTCCACCTTTGACTTTTTAACAGGCAAATATCCAACCATCACCTCATTAGTACCAAAAGACCAAACAAACGCCGGCTGATCATGTTAGATTCTGCTTTGGTGAGTCCATTGTCTTGTTGCAAGATTAATGACGGCACAAAGAAAAACATGTAAATCATTTTTTTCTCTAGTAATGCTTTGCATGTACAGTGCCATGGTAACAATGAAGTACTGTTACATTTAGATTTCTGATGTCTAATTTTACACCTGCACAGCACAGCTGAATAAAGATGCAGCAAATGTACTTTCAGTTGAGTTGTTTCATTTACTAGGAACGTGTGAATGTATGTCTTGATGAAGACAAATATTTTTTTAACTTTGAACTTTTCAGCATTTTAGTATTTTTTTGACTGTGACAATATAAAAGCAAACAGTTTTTTTCAGAAACTAGCAGGTGTGCACAGACACATGTCATGGAGACTGCTTTAGCGACATAGTGCTTTATATGTTGGTTTTGGAATAATTATTGATATTAGATTAAATTTGTTATTTTTTGTTTGCCCCTATGCACTGTAAACATTGTTGTAATATTCCCAGCTGTTTCATCCATGGTAATGATTTTGTCCTGTTCAAATCAACTTGTATCACAGGACGCTGCCATCCATTGCTCTTGTTGGTTTGTGTTTTAGTATAACACTGTTAGTTTAACATCATTTGCTGTTTGTTTATTGCTGCTGTTTGGTTTCCCACTGCCATGGCTGCTTGACCAGTATGAAAAGTGCGTAACAGCAATACAAAAACCTCTAAAACATTTTGTCTTTTTACAACCACAAAACTTGATGCTTTTCATCATCTGTATGTTATGGTCAGCATCACCAACACAATACAGCTCATATTTTTGTAGTGGAAAGAAGACGATCCAAAGTTGCCAATGTAGTTTACAAATAAAGTCATTTTCTGTGATGAGTGGAAACATCTCTGCAACATCGCATAACGTCAACAGATTAGGGAATTTGTATCAGCCTGCATCAAATGTGGCTTTTTCAGAAACAATGTGGGCTTCCAGTGCTTCTGACTCTACATTTTATTTCACTTTCCATCTATTTTCAAAGATTTTATCCCAGACAAAACAAATTTTTGAGCTATATTCCTGCAATTTTTCTTTTAAAAACATTTGGTAATTCGGACACATTACACACATTCTTTAAGCTAACCTTGCATACATTTTCTGTTAATGTAGTATACAAATTCCTATCCACAAAGCCTCTTTGCATCGTTGTCTTTGTTTATCTCATTATTTATCTGTTTATCTTCTCATCCACCCCTCTCCGCACCGCCCGCCACCAAACAAGTCCATCCTGATCTGTCATGTCAGCCAAAGCCATCTCAGAGCAGACGGGGAAGGAGTATCTCTACAAGTATATCTGCACATCGGCGCCAGTGCAGAACAGGTTCCGGTACGCCAATGTGACAACCGAAACTGACTTTCAGCGTCTGACGCAGGAACACCCATGGCTGCTCACAGAGGTGAGACAGCAGAGCTCGTTTTTAACCAAAATACATGTAGACGATGTTTTTCTTTAGATGGCTAAACGTCTGGAGCATAAGTGTGGGAAAAGCTGGAAAACGATCTCTGCTTTATGGAGACAATTACTCAGACTGACAGCAGAGTGGTCATTTGGTGCTTATTAGCTGAAATCACAGAGAAGAGAGTGATTCTTCAGCTCTGTTAGTGGAACTGGAAAGCCCAAGAGACAGAGAGAAATCCCCACTTTACCTCCATAACTGAGTATGAATAACTTCTCCTCTCCTTGGCCAATCCTCTCAGCAAAACTGGGACTAGCTCTTTAGCTAATATAATTACGTGGTTACTTATCTACAATAAAAAGGTCATTCTTCCTGTACCTCCCTCACGACTGAAGTATTTTATCAGGAAGGTAAAAGGAGGATGCAGAGTGCAGATCCACAGAGATGCCAGCTCTGCTAGAATTGATTAAGAAATCACATTAACTTTCACCCTCAACCCTCTGTTCCTCTGCTCAGTGCCAAGCACCCAGATACTAATGACTCCACTGTCAGACGTCATTCTCTGTATTTAACTCAGAAGAGAGGTTGGATGGGCTGGATTGGTGGGAGTATAGTCTAAGTTTGTATTTGCATCATGTGCAGTTTAGGTTTAAATTTGAGCTTTGGAAGAAAATGTTTCTTGATAACTGAGTGATTTTTGTGGTGTGTGAGTTAATACATTTTTGTGCTCTTATTCTATAACTCACAAAAATAGAGTCTTAGGTCTTTTTTAGTGTAACAATTAACAAAACTTTTATCTCAGTTACTTACTTACTCTGATACCTCTAAATAAAATCAACAGCAACCAAAAGTTGCCTAATTAGCATGTCCACATGTGTGGAACTTAATCTGGTTGCTCAGTTAAGGTTTTTGAGGTTTGCTGGAGAACTTTAGTAAACAAATAGCATCGTGAAGATAAAACAAAACACAGCTGAAAGGTGACAAATTAAGTTTTGAAGATGTTTAGAGCAAGTTTGAGATGTAAATGGAGTTGTATAATATATCAATATCATCAAGGTAATCTGGATTTTTGCTTAAATGCAATTGCAATGTTATGCTTGGATTCAAGTTATGGTAGAATATTATATTTCAATTATTTTGTATTCTAACTCTCTACCTCTACTACATTTGACCAGCTAGATGGACTCTATCTGCTCTCGATGCCCAATCCAGATGTATAGGTTTAGTAACTTAGGTACTAAAACTCACAGAATATAGAGGGAATATTGTAATGTTCGGAAAAAGAAGAAAAACAGAGTCAGATCAATTCAAAATGTTAGGCTCGAGTATCACAATGTTCTGGAATCAGTTGTTTTCTTGATGCTGTGACACAGTTACTATAATATTCCACATTCCAAACATCTCTGAAAATTGGACATCTTTACTGCTTTATTAGATCAGAGAATAATAAAGGAAATGTCTTGTTGGATTTTAAACGTGTTCACATGACAACTACGTTTGAATCCTTGGGTATTTTAAGATTGATTCTATTAAATTTGCCTCAAGTGCGTTTTTAATACTTCCAACTATGTAAATCCAACAGTGCTGATGTTTGCTCTCTGCATTCATAGTGTTTTGTTTTCCTCCTGCAGAGGCTCGTTGTTAAGCCAGACCAGCTGATTAAGAGAAGAGGGAAGCTCGGTCTTGTTGGCGTCAATCTGGACCTGAATGGGGTCAAAGAGTGGCTCAAGCCACGCCTTATGAAAGAGACTATGGTACGTCATGCACCCATACTAATTACCTCCATTTAAACATACTCCTGAACTCTCACCCATCAATTTTTCTACTATGCCTTTCTTCTTTTTCTTCTTCTTTCCTTTGTCTACCATCCCTGTATTACACCAGCACATTTTCAAATGTAGTACCCATGCAATCAGTTGTATTCATATTTGAACAGATGTGTGTTTGTGTGCAGGTTTTAAATCAGTCCAGTCAGCTGAGGCGAGCTCTGCCGCTGAAGCAGTAGTCAGTCCATCAATGTAACTCTGAGATGCTGCTCTGCCTCATAAACCAAGATGGGTCAATTTAGAGAATAGGTTCTTTCACGGATAAATAAAGGAGAGTGTTTTTGTCCAGCCACCATTAGACTGTAAAGTCTCCTCACAGATCAGATGAAACTGTCAGTGGCAGGAAATAAAAATAAATGTTGTGTTGAGAAGAGCATGTTGGGTTATGTCATGTTTATTATACATCCCTAGATTTCTACAATACTCTCTATATTTGCCCCAGCTGGGTTTTGATATTGAATTTTCTGTCTTTTTCATTGATGTTGGCAAATTATGGCCCTTGCTCACAGTTGACATTTATTTATGACAATTTGCACTCTCGTTTTACTCTGAGGCACCTCATTTATCTGTGAGGTTTTCAATCTTTTATCCTTGTTTTGATCATCCACTTCCTCTTTTCACAGTATTATTTGAAATGGCATTTCTTTCTCTTTTTTCTTCTCTCATTCAGTCCCTTATTAGGCTTTTTGCCTGTTGGCCTTTAACAGGAGCCATGACAGCTTCCCCAAATGAAATGTCCCTGTGGCTCTACATGACAAGTTTTTCTGTTTTTTCCCCTCTCTATAATGTCAATTTCCTTCAGTCAAGTGTTGGATTTTGGATACTTTACTAGAGTCTGAAAACAAATAAAGGGATCAAACATATATTATATAATGAAATCGCCTTAGTTATTTTACAATCACCGAGAATTTATGTCAGTGCATTAATTTTGTTCTGTTGCTGGTTTACAGGTGGGAAAAGCAAAAGGCGTTCTCAAAAACTTTCTTATAGAGCCATTTGTTCCTCATAAGCAGGTAAGCTAATCAGAAAACCTACAAATTTTTTATGTCAAAATTCAACAATTCTTCCAATACTTCATCCATCAGAATTTTTATTCTTTATTTTGTCTTTTTATCTATTTGATGTTATTGCCTGTCACTTTTCTGCTGTTCCACAGAAATGTCATTCTTGTGAGACAACGAAGGCTATTTGTATTTTGTTTGCATTCTATTCTGTCCTCCAGACAGAGGAGTTCTACGTGTGCATTTATGCTGCCCGAGAGGGAGACTACATCCTCTTTCACCACGAGGGAGGGGTAGATGTCGGAGACGTGGACGCCAAGGCACAAAAGCTGCTAATTGGAGTGGATGAAAAGATCAGTGAAGATCAGGTGAAGAGAGAACTGCTGACCAAGGCTCCCAATGACAAGAAAGCGTAAGCATGAAAAAATACCACTAAATATAACAATCTGGGTTTAATAAATAATTCCATCACTGTACTATAAAACTTATTACAACTATTGTGTGCAAGGGTAAAAAAAAAAAAATCCGAGTGATGGACGACCAACAGTGTTACAATCAGGAGTAAATGCCAGGGAGGAGGAACAAATGGGTGTGTGGTTCCATTAAGCAAATGACATTTTCCTCCTCGGCTCTGCCTTTCTTCGATCAGCCTCCACCCACAGCCTCTCTTTGTGTCCCAGCAACATGCCAAGCACGTTCATTTTTTTTTATAGAAAGGATACAGTGACACATCTCCCCCCCACCTTTAACCCCCGCCGATCCGTCTCCTCAGCGGCGCTCTCGTGACAGCAGATTCTGGCCGGACTCACTGTCTTGGCTGACATTGAAGAAGAAACCCCTCTGCTGGCCCTATCTCGCCTCCCCTGCCCAAACACTCACTTCAGACTAAAAACAGGATTCCTGTTTTTCTGCCCTTCCCATCAGAGGCCGACATGGTTGAGGCAGAGTCGCTCAGGGTTTTTGTTCCAGTTTTCACCCGGGGCCTTTTGTGGTTACAAATCTCTGAGCTGCCTGCTGAACTGACAGGCAGGAGAGGGCAGCAAAAATGCCCCCAACCTCTTACCCTAACTCCTCCTGCTCCATCTCCCTGTATTGAGATGTGATGGTGGAGGAAAATCAAATGTGCCTGCATCTAATTTACAGGTGGACTGTTTCTCATTCTGCTGATCCTCAGCAAAGTGATGTGAGCTACATTGTGTCTCTTTGATTTACGAGGAGATTCTAACTATTAAACAGGGTGTGTTAGATTGCATATCCTGGAGATGTCACTCCATGCACATGCTCTGTTTTGTGCATTAGATGTTTTACTTGTAGATGAGTCATTTCCATAAGGAAATAAAGAATGTATGTATGTGAGCAGAGAATTTGAAGCCCTAATATGTATAAAGTTTCAAAGTTTAAACACAGACCCATTGCATTTTTGTGACTTTGTTTTGTATGTTATATATTAATGAATCAACAGCTTTTTGATTCATTTAAGATTGATTCAAAAAGCTTATAAATGCAAAAAAAAAAAAAGTGCAATTCGGCACAAAATTTGATAGAGTGTAAAATCTTACACACTGTATCCAGTTGTAGCTGCTGAAGTTGTTTCATACAATGTTTTAATTTCAGGCAAGTTTTCAAAGGCCAGGTGAACGTCTTGTTTTTTGTGCACTAGCTTCTATTTATTTCTTTTGCAAGCAGTTTTTCTTTATAGAACATAGAGCCGATTAAAAGTACTCGCACATTGCTTTATGTTATAAAAGAAGACTTAACGGCTAAGGACATACAAAATAAATCTTTGCATTGATTACTGAAATCATGTACAAGGAGAAATCTGCTTTGTTGTCTTCCTTTTGCAGGATTCTTGCCAGCTTCATCGTTGGACTCTTCAACTTGTATGAGGATCTCTTCTTCACATACCTGGAGATCAACCCTCTGGGTCGGTTTTCATCAATCCAATTCAGCAAAAACATGTACAACATGTTAACTCTGTTGGCTGCTTTTGTAGAGATGGTGTTTTCATGGAAATGATGTACTCAAACTAAAAATAGAATTTAAAAAATGTTTTAGTTTGAGAACATCTTGCTGCAGTAAAAGTTGAACTAATTTAAAGGCTTTCACTGATCCTTACCAGGGGTGTAGTAAATGTGTCCATGTCTGTATGGCTTATCTGTAAAAGTTATCATAAATGCTTCCTTTGCTTTATTCCCGCGCCGGTTCATCAATATGCTACTACATTTTATAATTAGAAAGAGGACATCAAAGTCCTCTTTCTGATACTGTTTTCATCTGGAACTGCAGATGAAAACAGTATTTCTTATTAAAACTGAAGATTCTGCCAATTCTTAACATCCAGGAAAGAAAACATTAAATAATTCAGACCCGTCCTGTTTGATGAAGGCAGCTTGTGTTTCTAATGAAGTAATTGGGCAACGGTACATGCCCTGTGGCAGCTGTTCATGTTAATATGACTACGCTGCTGCTTTGACAACCAGCCACTTCCACCTCATCTTCACTCCTTCCATGTCTGCTGGGGCAACAGGAAGGTTCCTTCTGTTGACTCAGACAGTCTCCACAGCTGTAATAGTAAAACCATAGATCCTAACATGGTGTTTCTTTCTTGTGTCAGTGGTGACAAAAGATGGCGTGTATGTGCTGGACATGGCGGCGAAGATTGATGCAACTGCTGATTACATTTGCAAATCCAAGTGGGGTGACGTGGAGTTCCCGCCCCCTTTCGGCAGGGAGGCCTACCCCGAGGTGAGGAGGGGCAACATCGGTAGAGGATGTCAAGCAAGAGGCATAATGAGAAAAGCAGTAATCTGTCTCATCATTTACTCAAAATGTTGAGTAGGCCATCTGTCAGTAACCTTTAATAAAGTTATAGCTATTTTGATCAATTTTGTCTCTAATGAAAGCAATGAACTACAGCTTATACAACATTTTTCCATTCCTTGGAACTCAGCTTCATTCCTGATTTTTGTTAATCAAAAAGAGGATGTTTATTTGTTTGTTTATCATATATTGATCATTTTGCTTCCTTGCTATTTTGGTCAATTTTTACCCAATTATTTTGTGCACAAAACTGAACTGTTTGCTACTTTGACCATCTGTCAGTTTTCATACTCTTGGGGATGCTTTGTACCTGCTTTGATGATTCAAAGCAATTTCCTTCAATCTAATTAACCTAATATAATAACATTTTCTTATATATTTACAGAAATTCATATTTACTGGGAGGAAGTTTCTCATAGATGTTTTGTTTTGGTCAAGGGTCAAAAGTTTATGCTTTTGTCTCCCCCTATGCCGTTTTGGTGGTTTCACACCTGATATATATATTTTTTTATTATAATTTGCAATTCAGTTTTCCTAAGAAACATAGTAAATATGGTTAATGTAGTGGTGTTTTTTTCCTTTTATTTGGCTGACGCATGTTGAGGGCATGTCTGTCTGTAAAGCAGAAGGTCTGGACTAATTGGCCTGCTGTGAGGTGAGAGCAGAACCCAGGCACAGTGGGTGTCTTTGATTAGGAGCTAGTTTTTTTTTTTACCCAGAAGCACCAGCTGTGACTCAGACTGTCACAAACAACTGGAGATGTGCACCGCATCGACTGTCATCGATGCTTGTGTTGGCCACAATCTAATTAGAGATAAATCTAAGTACCTGCTTCAAGTAGGAATAACTTTAGGTATTGATAATTTCTTTATGTGTTTCAGGAAGCCTACATCTCTGATCTTGATGCAAAGAGCGGAGCCAGTCTCAAATTGACTCTGTTGAATCCTCGAGGCAGAATCTGGACCATGGTGGCTGGAGGAGGTGCCTCAGTCGTGTACAGGTACCGAAACAAAACATAATTTAAAATTCCTGAAAAGATAAGACTGCAGAATCTACATGCTTTTCATAAATCATTTAACGTTTCTCCTAGCTGGCTTTATTGTTCCCAAACTCTGTCCTCCATGAATTACACATACACATACATAAGAATAAGGACAGCATGGCAGCTCATGGTTCAGCCACTCAGACTGCCCAGTCAGCTGTCTGCTAAATGAGATTTCTAAATGTTGCTGTTTTAGAAAGACTCAGGAGGAATCAGTGGTTTTCCATCTGCTGAGGAGGATCGAAAGCGTAACATGCTGATATATCAGCCGCAACTAATTACTCCCTGAGTGCACTGTCTTAAGTGTTTAAAGTGCAGTGTAGGATCCAAACCGATGAAAACTGTTTCAATGCACATATTATTTTCTTAAATTGAGCTAAGAAAAGTCGCTTTTATTTTTGTGGTTAAAAACAAACTCCCAGTGATACAATTTGTGACCTGGGTGGAGTCGACGAGCTGGCCAATTATGGCGAGTATTCAGGAGCGCCAAGCGAACAGCAGACCTACGACTACGCAAAGACCATCCTGTCTCTGATGACGAGAGAGAAGCATCCTGATGGTAGGGGAATGTCAGGCTTCTCTATAATACATGAATTGTAACATTCCTCTTTATTATGATCTAAACATATTTATTAAATTCCAGGAAAGGTTTTGATTATCGGTGGAAGCATTGCAAACTTCACAAATGTAGCAGCAACATTTAAGGTATAGTATTGCCGAGCCCCAGGCTATCATGGGTTGTTCTCCTGTCTTTCCATTTCTGAAGAGTGTTTAAAATAAATAGCTCCATGTGTCACATACAATATGCACTCAAGGAAACAAGAAGTCATGACAATTAATGAATAATTAAATAACTGTAGTCAACTTAATATAGCTACTTCATTTGGATTTACATTTTGAAGTGATCCAATAAATTTACCGCATGAATAAATGTACACAATTTAAATACTAATGATAAAATTCAATGGTAAGAAGATCATTTTAAAGATAGTTTTAAACATGTCAACCATAAGATTTAACTCAATAATTGTAATTCAATCAAATTGATTTAAAAAATTATTTTAAGTTAAAATCTTATTTCTTTCAACATGTAGTTAGTATAAAAATCTTGCATGCATCATGATACACAACTGAAAATAGCAGACTGTGTCACTAAGCGTCTGATATTAAACCTGCACAGCAAATCAACTTGAGTCTAATTATTTTTGAGTTGAGTGATAATAACTCTGTGACTTTGATTGGTTAAGTTGACAAATCAAATAAATGAATGATGTGTTGTCACACATAACTATAACATAATCAAATTATAAAACACTTTAGCATTGTGAACATAAACAACATTGTTGTTTATAAAATGTTTCCAATGTTAATTCTTTTATCATTAATTTATAATAGCTATTGCATATGTATTATACTTTTTATTTGACAGTTTATTTATTTGTATATTCATGTATTCCATAAATTTTGATAATTTTGCCCCTCCGTAGATTTGTTGTCTAATAGGAAACAATTTCTTCCGTTTGTAAATTTTTATTACACGTCTGTCTCAAATTAGTCACCACAAGTATATATGTCTTATTCAGGGAATTGTTCGAGCTATAAGAGACTATCAAGGGCCACTTAAGGAGCATGAAGTCACTATATTTGTCCGCCGCGGTGGCCCCAACTATCAAGAGGGCCTCAGAGTGATGGGAGAAGTTGGTATGTTCTTTTTTTCTGCTGTGTAATTTTTTATTATCTTTTTGTGAAAAATAAAATAAAATAAAAAAAAAACTTTCTGCCAAAGTTTGTCTTTTGCTGATTGTCTTTTGATGCTAAATCCCACACAGGAAAAACCACTGGAATCCCGATTCATGTCTTTGGCACAGAAACGCACATGACTGCCATTGTTGGCATGGCTCTGGGTCACCGGCCAATTCCCAATCAGCCTCCCGTTGCTGCCCACACTGCCAACTTTCTCCTCAACTCTAGCAGCAGCACATCGGTACGACATGCAGTCAGCCATGTTGGCCCACAGTGTGCAGTGTCTAAATAATCAGCTCTTCCAGTTGTGATGTATAGTTTGGTGAAAGGAGGACTGGCACAGCAGCCTCTGTTTTAGCTCCTGCTGTCTTGTCCTTTTAGTGAATCAGATTATCTGAAGCCCAGTCGCTCTATTGTGTAAGTATAGTGCAGAGGATTGTGTACCGCTCTTACTCAGTTCTAAGTATCGTCAGCAGAGCCATGTAGTTTCCCCCTGAGGCTTCCATTAAAAATGTGCACAGTGAAGGATTTCAGCAAAATGAGTGTGCAAGTGCTTACTCATGTGTGTGTGCGTGTGTGTGTGTGTACAGTGCTTGGTTTGCCTTAAATATACATTGAAAAAAAATTATGAAATATGCATCTAAAAAATATTTGTAAAAGTTATTTCTATGAACTCAAAGGTGGTTGGTTTGAAATTTGCAAGTCATCCTTTGGAAAGCCGATGGCAGATATGTGAAGAATAGCAGAACTTGGAATGGATGTTCAGTGCAGGTGGTGCTTTATTGAATGACCTGAAGGCCTCATGTATCTCTGCTCCATCATTGCGTTTGCAGTGAATAAAGGACAAGAGCTTCCCCTCCCCATTTTGTTGTTTCCAGACTCCAACATCCAGAAGAAAAGACCCTTCAGAAAACAAAGCTAAAGTTGAGGGCTCACCCGCAAAGAAGGTGAAAACTGGAGCTTCTGTCGGTGAGTATACTTGGACCCCATTGCACAGGAAAAACATTTGCATCCTAATTTTTTCAGCTATAACATGTCATCACAAAGTACCACCACTCTTAAGCTAAAGTGTTAGGGCTCCCTCTTATGACAGCAATAGCAAACTACAATGCAAACATTGAAACAATAATGCTCATACCCACAGTGTCACACAAGGAAAATTTATCTTAAAAAAACAATTTCCTTAGAAAATGTATTTATAACACTTTAAGTGACAAGTTTCTATCTCTGAGTGATTTCTTTCTTTTTAGCTAAGGCCTCTACCCTCTTCAACAAACACACCAAAGCTCTGGTGTGGGGTATGCAGACTAGAGCAGTGCAGGGAATGCTGGACTTTGACTATGTTTGCTCCAGAGAAGAGCCATCTGTTTCTGCCTTGATCTACCCTTTCACGTAAAGTCACTCCTTCTTGCACATTTCATTCTTAAAGAACGTTCTGTTGCTGGGTGCGTCATGAATATTTTTGTTCTTGGTTGCCCTCCAGTGGTGACCACAAGCAGAAATTTTATTGGGGCCATAAAGAGATCCTCATCCCAGTGTATAAAAACATGAGCGATGCCATGAAGAAGCACCCTGATGTGGATGTGCTCATCAGCTTTGCTTCTTTGCGCTCGGCCTTTGAAAGCACCATGGAGACCATGCAGTACCCTCAGGTAAACAAGTCTCCTGCATCAGGATAAAAAAGTTTTCTCATTTAAAGCGGTTTAGCAAAGCTCTTCTCTCTAATTCTCAGATTCGAACCATTGCCATTATTGCTGAGGGAATCCCTGAAGCACACACAAGGAAGATCATTAAAGCCGCAGATGAGAAGGGTATCACCCTCATTGGCCCTGCTACGGTTAGTCTTTCACTCTTGGATAACTTAGAATACATCAGTGAAAGAAAACTACAGGGTGTCTTTCTGTTTCAGGTTGGAGGGATAAAGCCTGGCTGCTTCAAAATTGGTAACACTGGAGGCATGCTGGACAATATCCTTGCCTCCAAGCTGTACCGTCCAGGCAGTGTGGCTTATGTGTCCCGCTCAGGCGGCATGTCCAATGAACTCAACAACATCATCTCCCGTACTACTGACGGTGTTTTTGAGGGTGTGGCCATAGGAGGTGACAGGTGTGTAACTTGTGAATGTATTGTCACCAGCCACTTCATTAGGTACAGCTTCCTCCTATTGGATTGGACCTTTCTTTGCTTTGTGCCTTTATTCTTAGTGGCAGAGAAAAGTCTCTGTCAAATTCAAGAAACCATTTTGAGGTGATTTGAGTTTTGTGACACGGTTCATTGTTCTGTTGGGAGTGGCCACCATAGGTACACTGTCAATACAGTGATAGGCCTTGGTTTGAAAAGATGTTCCGTTCATTCTAAAAGGCCCAAAGTGTCCCAAGAAAATAGCACTACAACTTGCCCAGACCATTAACCATTGCGGTTGTAATTAAGAGTCATCAGATCAGGCAAAAGTTTCTCATCTGTTATTGTCTGATTTTAGTGAGGCTGTGTAAACTGTAGCCTCAGTTTCCCCTTCCTAGCTGAAAGGTGAGGGACCCGATGTGGTTCTCTGCTACTGTAATCTATCTGCATCAAGTTGTAATGTATTCTGCATTCTGAGTTAGTTTTCTGCATGCCTCAGTTGTAAGAAGTGGTATCTTCTAAGGTACTCCTTAAAGTACTGCTGCTTTCAGCAAAAGATATTTCCCAATGTCACTGCAGATATTTAGACATAGTGTCATTTTCTGGTCCATTTTTTTTGTAAAACTGACAGATAGTTGTGTAATGAAACCCTGGTAGATTAAACATTTTCTGAGATACTCTTGCATTAACAACTAGTTAAGGTTACTTTCTTCCCCATTCTGCTCTTTTCAATAACTGTGTTACCAATTGGTTGAACAGGTATACCTAATAAAGTGGCCAGTCAGTATACAAACCATTTAAATATGTTTGTTTAAGCTTCTGCTGGACTTTCCCACAGATATCCAGGCTCTGTGTTTACTGACCATGTTCTGCGCTATCAAGATACTCCGGGAGTGAAAATGATTGTCGTGCTTGGAGAGGTGAGAAATAGCTTCCCTCTTTGCTGGAAACTGATGGAAAGGTGTACTAGCAGCCAGTTGACAAGCTGTGTGTAACAAGGGCTGGGGAGAGGTAATATTGTTGTTGCTTCATGCTACATAAAGTCAGAGAAAACTGGCTTTTTAAAATCAGTTTTAAATGTGTAGCTCTTTTAACCCTCGGTGTGCCTCAATACTTGTAACCAACCCAGTCCTAGCTTTGTATCTAACTTTCAACATACTTTCCTTTAGATTGGCGGGACAGAAGAATACAAAATTGGCCAGGCTATTAAACAGGGCAGAATTACTAAGCCAGTAGTGAGCTGGTGCATTGGTACCTGTGCCACCATGTTCTCCTCCGAGGTAAGGGGTAGACTTCAGGGCCTAATTCATTTCAGTAAAATAAAAAAAAAAATTCAAGGTGTCTTTAACATCGTTTTCTGGCACATTTTTATACATCAGGTACAGTTTGGTCATGCAGGAGCCTGTGCCAACCAGGCCTCTGAAACAGCAGTAGCCAAGAACAAGGCTCTGAAAGAGGCTGGAGCATACGTTCCCAAGAGCTTTGATGAGCTGGGAGAGATCATCAAGTGAGTGCACAGCTATGCTTGTTCCAGTGGTTTATCAGGACATACAGCACATCCAGAAAATATTCACAATGCTTCACTTTCCCCATAGTTTTATGTCACAGCCCTACTAGTTTTAAGGGGAAAATGCTTTTATTCAGTTACAAAATGTACCATAGCAAAATGTAAAAAAACTGAAACAACTGTTTAATTTCCAGATGCACTGTGCTCCTATTATATACTAGAAAACTAGTATGCTCTATATTTGATTGTTTTATGTTATTCTTTGTCCAGATCTGTGTATGATGGCCTTGTTTCCAAAGGAGTAATCCAGCCAGCTGAAGAGGTGCCTCCTCCCACTGTACCAATGGATTACTCTTGGGCACGAGTGAGTAAGGCGGCAAGAACTACATTTTCCATTTTTTGGAAACACAGTGAATTAGTGGATAACTGATGGTACTACCTGTGTTTTTCTGGCTGTTGTGCAGGAGCTGGGCCTAATACGTAAACCAGCTTCCTTCATGACCAGTATTTGTGATGAGAGAGGCCAGGAGCTCCTCTATGCTGGCATGCCCATCACTGAGGTCTTCAAGTCTGAAATTGGCCTAGGAGGAACTCTGGGCCTTCTTTGGTTCCAGCGGAGGTTAGACCTATCCACCGGTGCTTAGAAAAACGCCCACCTGAGGGATTACTGGCCCAGATACAGATTTATTTTTATAATTTCACCTCTTCATGTGCAGGCTCCCAAAGTACGCCTGCCAGTTTATTGAGATGTGCCTGATGGTAACTGCAGATCATGGCCCTGCTGTTTCGGGTGCACACAACACTATTGTTTGTGCCCGGGCTGGCAAAGACTTAATCTCCAGCCTCACTTCTGGCCTCCTCACCATTGTGAGACATTTTGATTTTTTTTTTCTTTGTAGTATAATAAAAACCAAAAGGCACAAGAAAACCTTGACTTTCCTTTGTTGTTTCTTCAGGGAGACAGATTTGGAGGAGCTCTGGATGCTGCTGCAAAGCAGTTCAGCCATGCATTTGATAGTGGCATGTTGGCTATGGAGTTTGTCAATAAGATGAAGAAGGATGGAAAGCTGATTATGGGTATCGGACACAGAGTTAAGTCGGTGAGTAGTATTTATGGCTCAAAGGTAGACAAAGTTAGCGTTTCAAAATAAGATGAAATCTTCAGATAATTTTCCAGTTTTCAACTGAATATTTTTTCTCTGCTTCTTCAGATAAACAATCCTGACATGAGAGTCCAGATCTTAAAGGACTTTGTGAAGCAGAACTTTCCTTCCTCACAACTTCTGGACTATGCTTTAGAAGTAGAGAAGATCACCACCTCTAAAGTAAGGATTTAAAGTGTTGCTGTCCTGCATTAGCAACACACATGTTTTTCACTACATGAGCTCTCGCTGTCCCTGTGTTACCTAGAAGCCCAACCTGATCTTGAATGTGGATGGCTTCATCGGTGTGGCCTTTGTGGACTTGCTCAGAACCTGTGGAGGATTTACAAGGTCAGAAAAAAAATACAAAATATTGCATAATGCATTACATATTACATAATATCAAGTAACCATTTTGCTGACATATCCTACAGAGATGAGGCAGATGAGTTTGTTGAAATTGGTGCCCTTAATGGCATCTTTGTCCTGGGACGCAGCATGGGATTTATTGGTAAGTTGTTTCTGTTGTTTTGGTCAGATCTGCACAACAGCAAACATTTCTGCCCAAGGCCCCCTTCATATCAAACTAACACTTTACAATAATGTTAAAAAATCATCCAAGTCCATGCATCCACTCTTAGGTCCTTTGCATTCAGAGATCAAGGCAAAGTTTTAAGACTGCTGTTCTAATGAAAATGTGCCTTGTACAAGTGGTGGAAGCATTGTTGTGGACTGGAGACTTAACCAGCAGAAAACAAACAACTCCACTGTTTTCATATTTCCTACAGGTCATTACCTGGACCAGAAGAGGCTGAAGCAGGGTCTGTATCGCCACCCGTGGGATGATATCTCCTATGTGCTGCCGGAGCACATGTCTATGTAATCAAACAGCCAAACCACATATCATACATTAGTTCCACACTGTGATCTGCCACTTCAGAAATGAATGACAGTAAATTAAAGGTACATGTTAAAAATATTGTCGCTATAAATGAGAGACACCGAGAAGATGTTTCAGGGTGTATTTATAGTTGTAAAAGCCAGTCATTGCAGCAGTTTTGTGAGTCCTCCTAAAACCTGCCTAAATGTGATGCTTGAAGGTCTGTCAATGTGCTGCAGAGATGCAACAGGTTCAGATATAAATGTGAATATTTAGCTGCTGACCACAACTACCAGTCATGATGAGTGAAGTGCTGTAATCTACATATATAACATGAACATGTTTACAAAGTCTGGATGTCCTATTCTTGTGTAACGCCTACTCTCGTTATTGTGCCATTTGGAAATGGCAAAGTTCAGTGCAATAATACAGATCAAATCTGATGTTCTTCATGTCTGTATCGAAGTAATGTTCCCTAAAGCAGTGGTATAAACTAAACTGTTTGTTTTTGTGTGCCAAACTGAGATGTTACATGTTAATTATTCGAGGCTTCATGACTTATTTTACCCTTAAATGCTGGTTTTAAACATCATTTCACATTCTTCATCTGTAACTGTCATGCACAGTATGTTAAATGATCAAATCATACTTGTTAGGTTCTTAAGTATGAGACAGAATGTTCCATCTACCTTGTGCTTTCGTGTCTATTTGTAACCTTCTCAGTGTGGACTAATTGTGCTTATTTGTGCTTACCTGCTGTATGTTCACAATTGCACTTGTGAGATAAAAGAAATAAAACGAACATGATGTAATCATACTTTATGATTTCCATACTCTTGCCTCTAATGTCAGAATGTTCAAAAAATCTGAAATAAGAAAACTTTCTTCCTGAAACTTTCTTTAGAAAGCAGAACCAAATACCATTATTTTTATTAGACCTTATGTAGTCCTGGAAAAAAAGAAGAAATGTAAAGTCTATGTTCACCTCAACTTTGCTTACCCCAGAGATCCCACCATGTCATTATTTATCAAATATATAGCTACAGCTCAAAATCATTTCAAAAATAAAATGCACCCTACAAATCCCAGATAAGTAAAAATACAAAAAGCCTGAATTTCAAAGGGCGAATGCCTTCTTTTTTCATAACTGAGTCATATATAAAAATATGGATTCTACACAATCTGGAATGTACATAAACTCCAGCCATTAAATGACATAATGGCCACTCAAGACATTCGTTTTTTAAAAAAATTATAAATAAATTCTATGTTAGAGTAATTTTAGTAATGGAAATATATTATAGCTTTTAAAGTTGAACGTACTTTTTAAAAAAATATTTTGCAAAATTACACATTGGATTACATCTTAAACCGGTCTACCATAACTCATAGTAAAACTATTAGTTGGTCAAACACCGAATAAAAGATAAACCATATTTTTATCATCAGTTTTGGTGCAGTAAAATGATAAAATAATTACAAAAACAGAAGGATTTGTTTTTCTTTCGTCTGAGGATCCCCGTTCGAATTACGGAAATGACGCAACGACTACGTTTCACTGTAAGACCCCGCCTGGACTCCATGTATGTGTGGCTGCGTATGTCGCCTTGTTTCCCTCTCTAGTTTACTCCATCTCCCACCTCTGCTCACCTCCAGAGCTGGTAGCAGAATGGCAGCGGCGGCTCCCAACCCGGAGGACTCCGCCAGGAGTGGCAGCAGCGGCGGCGGAACCAGCAGCAACACTCCGAGTGCACTAGCCGGAGACGGTGACGCGGAAGAGGCCGAGGACTTCACATCCTCCTCCCATTGCTCGGAGCTCTCTCGGCGGCAGAACGAGCAGAGAAAGCAGGGCTTGTTTTGCGACGTGACGTTGGCCTTCAGCAGCGGGGCGGCTACCGGGAGCGTCCAGAGCTGCGAGTTTTCGGCCCACAGGTCTGTGCTGGCCGCTGCCACCGACTATTTCACTCCGCTGCTGGGGGGGCAGTTCTCCGAGTCTCTCTCCGGACGGGTGGAGATGAAGGAGTGGAGCTCAGAGCTGGGGCCAGACCCGGAGACAGTGGAGAGTGTCATCCAGTACATGTACACCGGAGAAATACGCGTCAGCACCTGCAATGTGCATGAGGTGCTGGAGCTGGCAGACAGGTACAGTCTGCTTGTAATTTTATGAAATGCACATAGCACCCGTAAACAGATCTAAATCTCTCGAGATTTGTTCATATTTTGTCACTTTTATGTGTTCTTATTTGGGATTTTATGTGATAGACAAACTAAGCAATGCATGGTTGTAAAGTGGAAATAAAATGACAGATGTGTTTTTTAATTGGTATACACCTGAGGGAAAGCTTTGTAGAACCATCTTTGCAGCAATTCCTTTGAGGCATGTTTTAATCAGCTGAGCACTTCCAGAGAAAACAATCCCGCCTCCAATGGCTTCAGCAAAGTCAAATGGGATGGAGAACATTTCTAAACATCAATTTTCATTTGGATTCGGCTCTGGACATTGACTTGGCCATACCAACACACTAATCCATTCCTTTATGGCGCTGATTGTGTGGTAGTTTAATTATCTGGTCAGGAGAGGTGTAATATTGTTTATTGATACTGCCACCATTGTGCCTTACTGTATAGGGATGATGTTTTAATGGTGATGCGTGCAGTCCCTGTTTTATGTAGCATAATGTTTCACATCCAGGCAACAAAATTTATTTTGGTTTTAACTGTCAAAGGCAACTTTCTAACATGTGCTTTGTTTGATACGTGGTTTGTAGCAAACTGTAACTTCTTTTGTCTTTCTTTCCAGTGGCATTACAACACAATGCAGCTTTGCACAATGCCTGAATGTTGCTCCACAGTTACTGCAAGGCTCTTGGCAGCTTTTCTTATTAAAACTCTTCTTGTGTAGTCTGCCAGTTTTGCTAGATAGCCATGTTGTAGGTTTATAATAGTGACCTACTCTCTCTATTTTGAAATAATGAACTGAAATTTTCACTGAATTCAACTTTAAACTCAGCATCTTCATCTCAGGCATGACTTCTGTTTCTTGGTCTTCATGATGCTCTTTGTTCATCAAAGTTCTCCAACAAACCTTTGAGACATTCACAGAACAGCTATATTTATAGCAACATAGACATCTGTATACTATCTGAACTATATTTAACATTTAGGTGACTTCTGACGGCTATGATTGTACAAGAATTTTTTTTAGGGATATCAGATTCTTATTTGTAAGCTAAATTTGAAAAACCTGTGCAATTTTCTTTCAACTCAAAATAATATGTTTTTTGCATTGCTAGTCTTGCCTATAAAATCCCAATGAAATACGCTACATGTCCTAACATTACAGTTTTGGTTTAATGATGGTTGCAATTCCCTCTGATGTTTTTCATTGTGTTTTTTCTCTGTTACTTTATTTGAAGGTTCTTGCTGCTGCAGCTCAAAGATTTCTGTGGTGAGTTCCTCAAGAAGAAGCTGAGTTTGACCAACTGTGTGGCAGTGCACAGTCTAGCTCACATGTACACGTTGGACCAGCTGGCCTTGCGGGCCGCAGACATGATTCGCCGCAATTTCCACAAGGTTATCCAGGATGAGGAGTTTTACACGCTCCCCTTTCACCTGGTCCGTGACTGGCTGTCGGATGCAGAGATCACTGTGGATTCAGAGGAGGTGCTGTTTGAGGCTGTGGTAAAGTGGGTTCAGAAGAACCCAGAAGAACGAAGTCGCTACTTCGAGGAGCTGTTTCGTCTCCTCAGGCTTCCCCAGATAAAACCCACCTACTTGGCCAGGGTGGTGAAAAATGAACGACTCGTGGCCTCTAATGAGGCCTGCCTGCGGCTGGTGTCAGAGGCTGTAGAGGGCCATGCAATTCGCTTTGAAAACCTCAAGTCAGCAGATATGGAGTTCTGGTCTTCGCACATGGCCTCATTTCAGCCTCGGTTTGGCCAGAACATGGATGTTATCATGGTGGTGGGTGGGGTTTCAGAGGGTGGGGACTATCTGAGTGAGTGTGTGGGGTACTTCATCTATGAGGACCGATGGGTAAACCTCCCACACATCCACAACCACTTGGATGGCCACGCCATCGCCACCACAGAGTCCCATGTCTATGTAGCTGGATCGATGGAGCCAGGATTTGCAAAGACAGTGGAACGTTACAATCCCAATCGCAACACTTGGGAGCAAGTCAGCAACTTAACCACACGCAAGCACTCTTTTGGGCTAACATGCATCAAGGATATCCTGTACAGCATTGGTGGGCACGGCAACTTCAGTCCAGGCTTCAAGGATGTCAGTGTGTATGAGCCTGAGCAGGACAAGTGGCACAATTTGGAATCAGCTCCTAAGATCCTGCGAGATGTAAAAGCAGTTAGTGTGGAGGATCGCTACGTGTATGTGACGGCACGCACCCCTGTGGATACGGATAATGATGATGGACTGAAAACGGTGACCACCCGATATGACACCGAAAGCCGTCAATGGCAGGATGTTGACTCCTTGCCACTCATTGACAACTATTGCATCTTCCAGATGGCCGTGGCTTCTACCAACTTCTACCACACAGCTTCCTGCTGCCCTAAGAGTTACACAGTGCGGGATGAAGTCGCCAGGCAGAAGATTAGTGCCCGCATCTCTGATGAGATCCTGGAGAGCCTGCCGCCAGAAGTGACCAGCATAGAGGGTGCAGCCATCTGCCATTTTGATGAGGACGTCTTCATCATTGGAGGCTGGAAGAACAGCGACGATGTTGACAAGCAGTATCGCAAAGAGGCCTACCGCTACTGTGCGGAGAGGAAGCGTTGGATGCTGCTACCGCCAATGCCACAGCCCCGCTGTCGAGCCACCGCCTGCCACGTCCGCATCCCATACCGCTTCTTGTACGGCTGCCAGCGGTACCCCATGCCCCAGAACCTGGCTCGCCAACGAGATCGTATGCAGCAGATGCAGCAGCTCCATCGGCGCACCCTAACCCTTCGTCGACAGCTCCAGTCGCAGATAGAGTGCTGAAAGGGGCCAGCGGCATCTGAAGATTTCCACCATTCATGCATAACCCGCTGCTGTGAATGATGTGTTGTTCTCATTGGTGTCATTCATCTAAGCTGCGTGGCATTAGCTCCCATGTTGTATTAATCGCTGACTTAAAGCCATGAAATGTGTATGCAGGTCATTCAGGCGGTATGTTGCAGATGTACACATGTTTATAAGAGTGTTTTTCAGCAGCCAAAAAACTAAGTATGCTTTAGTAATTAATGTTGATAAAGATGCTGTTTATCTATTTGTATAGTATAAAGCTGCATATGTCTAAATCGATACTTGACATTCCTTTATTGTATATGCCTGTACTGGCAGGAATATGTGGCATCAGTAATAACATTAGTATTGCATTCCTACTTTCTTAAGAGTCCCATCATTCCTTCCTTCCTAACACTGTGACAATCCCTTCATAAAAAGTCCAACTTACTAAAAATGGACTTTGCTTGTTACTTCAAACATTCAACATTGACTGTGAATATATCATATAGGTTACCTGATCTTTTCTTTCTGGAGAGTCCAGAAAGACTCCTCATCACAATCGCTTCTAGAAGGCTCTCCCTTTGTGGTCAACAATTGTAGTGTATTTTGGTCATTTATGTACATGTAATGCTTTAACAGTTCTCAGAGGGGCAGTATGATGCTCTAGTAATATGTAAGTTGCAACAACATTTCACTTATGTATGCAGTACATTCACATTTTTTTCTGCCTCTATATTAAACACCAAAATCAATGGCTTAATCATTCATTTCTTTTGCACTTTTTAAATTTGTTCCACTTATCCTCTTAATTCAAGCAGAAAATGTAAAAAATATTTATGCGTATGAATGCAAGACTGTCTATGGATTGTGTCTGCACAGGGTTTGGTTATTGTTTTCCTAAGAATGGTTAAGGTTTCTTGTAGAACTGCACTTTTTCAACCTCTTATTATTTGTAAAGTCTTAAAGTTGTTGCTGCACCTTGATTTAGAATTTTTCAGTTGTGTCATATCAGACAAGGTGATTGTATTTTGTAAATACAATTTTTTAAAACCAGATTTCAGCAAGTAAGTTTTGAACCCTAAGCAAAGATGTTACCACCAGTCTGGACGGAATTGTTTCAAATGTTAAATATCTCAAAAAATTATTTCTGTTTCTTCATTTTGACTTAGGTGTACATTGGAGGTGTCTCCTGTTGCCCACCAAAGAGACGTAAAGATGTAATAAAAAGGAATCAAACCTAAAGACAAAGAAGGGATTGCTATGAATTTGTTGTGACTGACATTCAGGAGCTGTGCAGTACCAAGGTTAAAGAGCGTAGAAATGATATTCATTTCCACTTTATGACCAATATATATAGCACTGCAGATCTTAACTGAAATAAGCTATGTATTTGCTTTGCATGTGATAGTCTGACATTGTGTCCTTATATTTGGATGTAAGAAGTACTATTGGCATCACTTGCAATTAAAGCTGTTTTTGTAAGATAAGTATGTGTATTGCTACTTTGACTCATGACTCTGTTCAATGCCTACTCATACTCTTTAATTGGCTTTAGTTTTGGTGCCAGCAATAGGTTGCCAATTGAACAAAGAATAAGTAACATTCAGGCCTTTCACTCAAATGGTAAATAAGTTTCCTGGAGTGTTCGATTACTTTTCTGTGTTAAGCTGTACCAATCAATTTACAGATTCACCTGAATAAATTAGCTAGGTATTGAGGTATTTTATTGCATACATGGTGATATATTTCAAACATGCATTTAAAAAAATACCCTGATATTCACCATCCCTGATTATGACATAAACTAACTAAAAAAATAAATTGCAAAAATGTTATTCTGCTGACTTTAGCGTGGTCCAGAAGAAAATCACTGAGTCTGGCCATAGAGTAAGTCGTAAGTCGCTTATGGATGAAAAGCTAAGTGGAAAAAAGATTTGGTAGTGCAAAAACAAGTAAGGTGAGCATATTTTGCACAGTGCATGGAGATGATTTTCAGCAGACTGACATTTCTGTAATCAAAATCTCTTCTCATTAATTTTATGCAGCAATTATTATTATTATTATTGTCATTATACAGATTTTTAATCAATACTTTAATAATTAAAAAATAAATTATTTATTTTTAATTTTGTTGAATCGCTTTATTTATTTATTTGCTGTTGTTTTCATTTGCTGGAAACCTCGATCATAAGAACAGATAGAAAACTATTCATCCATGTGTAATGATTAAATATAACTTAGATTTTCGGTGATATCCAAATTTATTGATATGTATTTGTTTGCGTGAGACTGGTGGGAACCTGAAACGGGAGGCTTTGCTTCACGGGGACAGCTGCACATGGACGGTTAGGTAAGATTAGTGCTGCCTTCAAGGGTCACTCATCGGCTCGTAATTAAAACGGTAACGGGAAAACTTTCAAAAATAAATAAAAAAATTAAGATTACATTGAATACATACAAGTAAGAACTGTTTATAAACTGCATTAACTGTAATAAAATAGGGGTTTTAACCTAATCAGAGTATTAGTAAACACACTTGTAAAAACAATTCCGACACACACGGTAGTATGAATGCAGCAGTGTCCTTTTAGCCCGGTACACATAGTTCTCTTGTTCTGCAGACGTTGCCCAAAAAAGCCGCAAGGCACAATTTGTTATTAAAAATGGTAATGCTACTCTGTAAACATTCAGAATAACATAAAAACATGTAAATTTTTACTTCACGCAAGTAACATTTGTAGTGGGCTAGCTAAATTGTATTTAACTTTATGCTAAGCTACTACTATGGTATAGCTATTAACTTTGTAAGTCTCATAAAGAGAAAAAAACGACTTAAAACCTAATTTGACTTTATAAGTCCAATTTTATTAATGGGTAATGACAAGACTATACGAGTAAATCCATTTTTAAATCATGTATTAGTCTAGTTTGCTTTGGTTTCGGTTTTAAAGTTAGTTTTTTGTCGTGGTATGGAATCGCTGTTAACGAATTGCTGTTACCATTTTCAAACGTTGTGTCTAAACAGATTCCAGAGCTGTCCAAAGAATCCGTGTTGATGAAGGATCCTCAGAGGGTACAAGATATCCTCAAGTCCCTGTTAGACGCTGGACCCAACACGCTGCAGGTATCCACACTGAAACGCCTCAGAAATCCTGGAAATCCTGCAGGAACACTGGGTGGAAATCAAACGTCACATTCTTGTTATTTGTAGGTGATCTCTGATTTTGACATGACCCTGACGCGATTCCAATACAATGGGAAGCGATGTCCTACGTGTCACAGTAAGCACACAGTTAGTGTTTTTATGCATTAAAACAAATGAAGTTTGACAATAAATGCGTAAGTTTAATCTTCAGAATAAGCTGTAATATGCAGGTATTAATTACCCTAGCAAAGGTCAAAATGGGGCTTTTCATTAAAGTTACTGTTGATGTTTTTCTGAGAAATAAGTGTTTTTTTTGCAGCCCTTCTTGATTCCAGTCTCTCCAAATTTCTGCCACTGCTGCCATTCATGAGCAAGCTCTGAACTGGTGTCAAACAGTGTCTTATCCTAATTGAACAATCCTTGGGAGGTCATCTTGGGATCTGTTGCACCTTCATTTATATCTTGAAGCATTCTTTGCAGTACTTGAGCCTCTTTAATGGAACAAAGTGTTTCTCTAAAGGTAACATTAGCAGGAGTCCTTTTTAAAGCATTTGTAAAATCAGCTTTAGTTTTGGTTGAATAAAATATGTGCTACAAGAAGACTCCCCTGTGGATCCCTCGGGAAGCACAAGTCAACCAGTATTCTGTAAAGGACGCATCTATGAGAGTTTAGAAGTAAAAGCATTTTAATAATTGCAACTGTATGGGAAAAAGAAATTATCCAACATAAGTTGTTGAATTGTTTGTTTTGGCAGATATTCTTGACAACAGCAAAGCCATCTCCGAAGAGTGCCGCCAAAAGGTTGGATAGATTCTTCTGAAATATTTTTTGTGCTGGTTGATCAAAGCTTAATGCAAAATGTAAAAAAAATTATTATAATTGATAATATTTTTGTTGTAACACGGTTTGCATTTCGCTCCTGTTTTATGGACCATGTTTTAAGTTTTAAACCTGGGTTATTCCTGGTATTTAAAGGGTATCTGTGCTTATCTAACCCTTAGATTTCAGAATCTGGTTCTGTCTTCCACAGCTGAATGATCTTCTCCAGACTTATTATCCTATAGAGATTGATACCTCACGCTCAGTTGCAGAGAAACTGCCTTTGATGGTGGAGTGGTGAGTATTTCTCACTGATATGCTCCAGTTTTTGGGGGATTAGTGTTTAAAAAGGTGAGTCTTTCTCATAGGTGGACCAAAGCTCATGACCTTCTTGTGGAGCAAAAAATAAAAAAAGTGGAGCTGGCTGCAGCAGTGCGTGAGTCAGATGCAATGTTGAGGTAAGGATATCTAAAGACTAAAAGTTGTGGTTTATAAGAGGAAAGTTGAAATAAAATGTGGCGATGGTACAACAGGGAAGGTTATGAGCTGTTCTTCGACCGTCTGAACCAGCACGCTATCCCTCTGCTCATCTTCTCCGCTGGAATCGGAGACATCCTGGAAGAAGTTATACGGCAAGCCAACGTCTTCCATCCCAATGTCAAAGTCATCTCCAACTACATGGACTTTGACGAATTTGTGAGTTGTGCAGCACTTAAAAAATGTTAATTTTATTCCAAAACGATACATTTCTATGATATTAAGGCTTCTCTGATTAACCAGGGAATGTTGAGGGCTTTCAAGGGAGAGTTGATTCACGTCTACAATAAAAGAGAAGGTGCGCTGCTAAACACGAGCCATTTCGAGGAGCTGCAGTCAAGACCAAATGTCCTGCTGATGGGAGACTCTCTGGGGGACCTGAACATGGCTGATGGAGTTCAGAATATGAAGCACATCCTCAAGATTGGGTTCCTGAATGACAAGGTAAGCAAAAACCTGACATATTTCAGCCAATCCCAATGGTTTCCAATCATGATTTTTTGCCTTTTTCTTTCTTTTTAGGTTGAGGAGAGCAAACAGTCCTATTTGGACTCCTATGACATTGTGTTGGTGAAAGATGAATCCTTGGAAATTCCTAATGCTGTCCTCCAGCTTCTTACTGGTAACAACTGAACTGTTTTTCAGCCCTGGCTGTAAAACAGCCAGAAACATCGGCTGAGCAGCCGCCTGCTCTCCCAGTGTTGCCAGGAATCTTCTCTCAATGGAAATAAATAGCATAATGCTTTGCAAAAGTATTGACACCACATGAACTTTTTCACATTTTGTAATGTTGTAGCCACAAAATGCAATGACTTTCATGCAATTCATTGTGCAATTTTGAACTGGTAAGAAAGAACATGTTATTACTTTTTTCATTTTCAAATCAATACTTTGTGGGACCAAGTTTCCATTACAAGTATTTTGGGGTACTTCTTTACCAGCTATTCTTATCCAGAGATCAAAATTTGAGCCAATACTTTGTAAAGTAGTTCAACCCCAGTAAGATTGCATGGAAAGTATCTGCAAGTGTCAAGTTTCAAGTGTTACTACATATTTTTAGCTGGATTTGGAGGGGAAACTTGAATATGCTTTGATCTCAACTAGTCCACTCCTCAAGGCTGGTGTCTTGGAGCCTTTATGTGTCCCTGGTTCAACACACCTAAATCTAGCTGCAGAATTACGTCCTCATTATGCAGGCAAGTTCTCCAAAGTCCTGATAAGGACTTATTGTTGGATTCAGGTGTGTTGAAGCACAGACTCGACTAAATGTTGAAGGACACTGGTCTTAGAGGTTGGACACCTCTGATCTAATCCATTACATTGTAGCTTCCATGTTTAGGGTTTTTGTCTTGTATCAAATGTTGCTGCAACCACAATTCTTCATATGTTGAGGTTCTGGTATTTTTCCATCACATCATTTTGCATGTAGGCAAAGAACGTTAAATTTTACTCATCTGTCTTGTTCCACAAGATGAGTTGCTGGCTGTGTCCCTACATGAGCAAAGGACTGATTATAAGGCTTCTCATTGCTCTGAAGCCTTGTAAAAGTTCAATAGGCCATCTGAAAAAGTTCAATAGGTATTCATTCTTTTTGCAAGGCATTGTATATGATTGTATTTTAATGTACAAAAAAAAACAAAAAAAACTAATACCTGAGCGAGTCTGTGTCAGACCCCAAGTTGTTTTACATCCGTTTGCAAACCTTACTATTGTTTTGAACCACTACGAACCTGTATGGATTCTGTGGCAGCCTGTGTATGTGTATGAGGTTTTTGGTATTTTTTTTAGTTCTGTTTAAGCATTTCCTGTTTTAATGTTGGATTTAATATTTAAAAATAAAACGCACAATAAAAATGTGGCACCTTATTTTTCTATTTGATTCAACAAGATTTGTAACCACTTTATGCGTAATAAATCACCTCTCCATAAACTGTCAACATGACACCCAAAATTTAACTTCATCTTTGTGTTTCATGATACATTTTGAATTGCAGTAGGTTCCTATCAAGTTTTCTTTGGTTTTATCCAGTCTTTGTGAGCAATCTTTAATGTTTGGACCTTGTAAGAAGTTATTTTCTTTTTTACTTTCCTGATATTAAACATGTTTTCATTTCAATAAACACATCTGTCAGAAAAGAACCCGTCTCTATGCGGAGTACATGTGAAAGAAACTGAACTTAATTTTATTATAAAAGTTTATTTTTTTTTTCTTACATGGTTATAATGCAATAGACCAGTAGTTGTTTATCATTCTATCAAAACAAAACAAAAATCAGAAGCTCAGCATGGACTTACATAAATAAACCTTTTCAACCATCAACATATATTTTTATGGAAATTTATGACTTTTTAAAAGTGAATACAGGTTTCAATTTTAAATGTATCAAAAGAAAACGATGTCATAAAAAACAATTTACCATCTGGGTGCATATGAGTTAAGGGTAAGTTTCCAATGACTTCTTGATTTACCTTTAATTTTTTTGAAATGTTGTTGGACAGTTGTGAAGTGGATATTTTCAGTTCCTGTGTGCTCGCCTCGCTGCTGCTCATAGCTCATCTCGCCTCACTTGTTCGGACTCATCATCCTTAATTTTCAGTTCATCTTCTACAATTTTTCCGTCTTTATTCTGGTCCTGATTATCAAACATGTCTTTAACAACGCCTTCGATATCAACACCTGGCCGAAGTCGACCGTTGCCCTCTTTGACTTGCAGTTTGATGAACTCTGAAAACTGCGGGAGGGGAAGAGAAGAACATTTTACTGCTTGTTAACAGATTATTCTAAAAAAAAAAAAACTGGCCAAACTTTCCTGCTTACCTCCTGTAGAGGGACCTCTTTGTCCCCGTTGAGGTCTAGCGCATTGAAGAGGGGGTCGGGAATTTCTCCTAGCCAGACAAACATGAAGCCTTCTGGCACACCTTTCTGCAGCTGCACCAGCTCCAGTTCAAATAGGAGCACTGCACTTCCTGGAACTCCTACAGCTATAAAAGAAATCCATCCAATCAGAAGATATGAGAAAGGATTTACAGAAAAGTAGTCAATTCTCTTGAATATTTTCAGATTTTGTCATATTAAATTAATCAGGAATTTATGTGAATGCACAAACTTAGAAATGGAAGTAAAATTATCTGAAAAGTGTTCCGTTTATAATGAGTCCCCTTGACTCTGACACTCCTGAGTGACTCCAATTAATTTCTTTCTAAGGTCACAGGAACGGATAAATGTAGTACACTTGTGCGTAATTTAATCTCAGTGTAAAACTGCTTAATCTGTGAAGGACTCCAGTGTTTGTTATATTCCTAGATATAGTATTTTTTTGGGCACTACTGTATCCAAAACATTTCCACATGATATGGAAAAGTTCAAGAGGCATGGATATTTCTTTTAAGTAATAAATGACATTGAATTTTGTTTCTTTATTTTTATTGAAGCATTTCCAGAAACTCACCTCCTTCCTCTCCATGACCCCAGTGTGGAGGGACCACCACCTCTCTCCTCTCACCCACACACATGCCTTTCAAACCTTCCTCCAGGCCCATGATCACCTTACTGGCTCCTAAAGTTGTGACAGAAGGTGAGTCGAACTGGTCCCTGAGAATCAGAAATAATCCGCTTTAGCTTTCAACAGTAGGTTTTAAAAATCCGAGCTCAGTAAAACATGCAGCCGAATGTGCTATCGGATGCATGAACTGTTAAGTCTGCCAGACAAGGAGCCAGCGATGTTTACATGCACGAGGGTGTGGTGTTGCAGAGTGAACAGCAGGGGTCGCTCACGAGGAGTACAGAAGTGTGCCGTCCATCAAGGAACAGTTGTAGCGATAGTGAATTAAATCGTCCGCTTCACTGGCCATGTTACATTCCTGAGGCTTGTGGGTGACTCTGATCTCCACCGAATCTTTGGGGTTGTGGAAGTCAATAACGTGGACGTCAAAAATCAGCACAGCAGAGCCAGGAATGAGGTCTCCTGCCACCGCAGAGGGAAAAGAAAAAGGCAGAACTGATGGTTTTATCACGCCCTCTCAGTTTGTTTTAAAGCCTCCTAAATGCAGGCGTCAAACTCACCAGCGCCTTTTTCTCCATAAGCCATGTGAGGAGGAATTATAATTCTCCTTTTCTCCCCAATGCACAGGCCCTGCAGAGCTTTATCCATGCCGTGGATCACGTATCCCATTCCAATGTATGTGTCGTAGGTTTTGTTTCGTTGGTAGCTGTTAGAGGAAGTATAGTGGGGGCTTAAAGTTAAGATACTTTATTTACTTTAAGAAGAACTGCCGGGGTTTACCTTGAGTCAAAGAACGTGCCGTCCTGGAAAGAGCCGTTGTAGTGGTAGCGGATGTAATCCCCAGTGACTGTCTTGCGTGTGCAGTTTTTAGGCATCTCTTTTACCTCTGCAGTCACATCATCCTTAGGATTAAACACATCAACCAACAGCACCTCAAACACAAGTGTCGCCTGTGGGGGGATCTTGGTACCTTCAGGGAGGAGAACAATGGTTGGAGTAACAACATGCTTAAAATATTATGCACAGTGCAGCAAGCTAACAAAAAAAAAACATGGTTGGCAAAAGCAAATAGTTTTAGGCCAGAATTAGCATTTCAATTTCTAAGTCTTTTACCATGGCCAGTCTCGCCATACGCCAAAAATGGTGGGACAATGATAATCCGTCTCTCCCTAACACACATGCCCTGAAGACCCTCATCCATGCCTTCAATGATGTCACCCTGCCCCAAGTAGGTGTCATAAGTTGTGTTTCTTGAGTGACTATAAAAAAAAAAAAAACATTTTTATACATTTTTTTGAGACACGGATCAAAGATTTTTGTCCAAAGGACAGTGAAGTTTGACTCACCTGGAATCAAATGCTTCACCAGTCAGCAGCGTGCCGTTGTAATGGTAACGGATGAAATCTGACACTGCCGTAGTGCGCCTGCATATCCCAGGCTTGCTGATTGTGCGGATCTGAACCTTGTCCTTAGGGTTCCATATGTCCAGCAGGAGGATATCGTACACCAGAGTGGCATCGGGAGGGATCAGACCACCTGTGGGACCAGCAAAACACAATGGCATAAACCATAACAGACGATGCAAAACAGAAAAATTAAACAACAGTTGTCCAGTGTGACGCTGAGCCGCACCTGTGCCAACACTTCCATATGCCAGGTGTGGCGGGACGGTGATCCTTCTGCGCTCATTGACACACATGCCCTGCAGACCTCGGTCCATCCCTGTGATGAGCTTACCAAGTCCCACCTGACTGATGAAGGCTTTACCTCGCTCATAGCTGCAGAGGCAAGACGGGAAAAGAAAAGCAAAGAAAATTGTTAATGCTCAATGCCTTCTGGAGAATGTTTTGTGGTACTTAGACAAAAACTAGATCGAGCTCTTGAGAACGTATGTTTGAAAACGTCTGTGTTATGCTTTCAAGCCTACAACACTACAGACAGTCAAATATACAGGTGGTATTATCATGCTGTTTTGCAAAAGTCAATGTGACATAAGACAGAAAGCAAGCCAACTCTCAATTCTTCAGGTTCAAATCAACAGCTGGTTGTTGAAACGTGGAACAAATTATATGTTGGATAAAATTATTTCTATCACATATCACAGTTGGTTCTGGAATGGATAAAACAAGTTAACATTATCTTCTGGAATTGACTGACAAAACTGCTTCTTTATGAGAAGCAGCAAAGATGGCGCCATTTGTCCAGAGTCAGTGATGATGCCTCAAGGTGTGTTGCAGGAAGTAGGATCATTAAAGTGTTTAGCATCAGATAAATCACAGAAATTTGAAAGAACAGGTTCGTTCTAACAGTTTAATGATTTATGTCACGCATCGAAACTGAGCTTGGAATAAAAAAAGGCAACGTAGAGCTTGCTGTTCCAATATTTCACATTGTCAACCCAACATTAAAGGGGGCGTGTACGATTTTCTGCCTGCGTGTGAAGTTTTGGACCTACGAACATTAAATCGAAGCGTTTGCATTTCCTGTTACAACAACGAATAATCACTGTTGAAAATAAATCTACTCAAATATGCAATAATGAATGTATGCAAACCTCTTCTGCAGTCAACGGGATGGTTCTGGTTATGATTATTGCAAAGTTGACACGTCTACAAAAGAAAACTCTAGAGTTGAACTCTGTTATTAACTTCGCATGTTTTGACGTTTTTGTTGCACTTTCTTTTCTTTTCTTTTTTTTTAAACAGTCATCTAAATCTGGCTCTAATTATCGCCGTAAAGTAAAGTCCAGGTCACCTGGAGTCAAACCTTTTCCCGTCCTCATAGAAGGTCCCGTTGAAGTGATATCGGATAAAGTCTTCTGTCTGAACTTCTCTGGCACACACTTTCGGTAATTCGTACCGATCCACAACAATGTCCGCCAGCGGGCCGGGGTTGCAGTCCACAGTGGAAACTAAAAGCAGCAGGCCGAAGCATTTCGTTACATCCATCTGGACCCTGTGGGGGAAACTGCAGAGGAGAGCACGGATCCCCTGGAGCCGACAGCCGGGCGATGTGACTCATACAGGGGGGAGAAAGGAGAAACAGCCGCAGAAAGTTTGGGGCCGTTTGAAGGTAAAGGTTGCGGGAAGAAGCAAAGCAGCTTCCGGTCAGGGTTTTCAAAAATAACAACAATAATAAGTTTCATTTACATCAGGATTTAAAAAAAATACGTGACAGGCTTGGTGGATGTTAATTGTTCAACCCTGAAACACTATACCAACTGTCACAACCAATGACTGTCAGTGATGGTGGTGGCAGCATCATGCTGTGGGCTGTTGCTTAATAGTAAATTTGCTGTAACCCTGTTTATTTTGGCGTAAAAGCTGTGTGAACCAAATTCAAAAATATTTTTTCT